TTATACAAAGACGAAACCCACTTCCCGACCCCCCCCCCACCCCCCGACCTCTGGCCACTGAGGTCAGCGTGCCTCCCCTCAGACTGATGTGTGAATGACAGATCACCAGAAGCTGCATGTACAGGAGTGACGAGACTCAGCCAAGGCCAAAAGTGCTGTCTAATTATGGGGACCCGCCCCTGCGGAAGGGAAATGCCCTAAAAACACATCATGCTGGCCTTGTAATCTGTTTAATTATATTCCAATTGAAAACACATGTGGAGACAGGGAAAGAAATGAACACCACAAAATGATGGCAATGATATTTTTTTAATGCTGATAAGAGCTCATACACGTGCCATAACATCAACAGTGTAATAACATTAATTACAAAATGTATATTTGCTTAATATGTTATTTGATTGGGGTTTTTTAGTTTACATTTACATAGGGAAACATTCATTTATGTACAAATGTTTATTTGAATGTTTTTCTCTTAATATAACTACATCACAAGCTTCAGAATTGCCAGGATTGCTGGAGTGTCTTTTGAGTTTAGCAATTAACCACAATCCAACATTCTGGTTTCTAACTCCCTGCTATATCAGGAGTATTATATTGATATGTTAATATAATAAACATAAATAAGAAGTCAATCATTTGACAGACAATTCAATTAAAATACAAGTTTCCAAAGTAAAAAATACTAAAATGAGCTTCATCTACATAAAATGGCATTAAGTTTGCACTATTGTTACTTTTATGCACCCTCTCTAAACTTCCTATCAACCAACTAAAGGAAATACAACTCATACTGTACGGTTACTTCATCACTTGAGTTCCTTCACAAACGTCTCTCAATGAAAGCTTCAGGTAGCTGTTCAACAGGGACAAATAGTAGGAATATATCCTTACTTAATAGTTATTTAATGGCACAAAACTTGTCAGATCAATACAGAGAATTGGACACCAATGTCCTACTATTCTGTTATCAAAACAATTATGTGATGGCTAAACCAGCTCAGGATTGTCTCCACATTCAAGCAGCTGACAGAAATATCTTGTTATACTGAAGTAATTAGGTATTAGGGCTGAGATGTTCGAGAGGAACATCACTCAAAAGATGGCATGGATACTATTCCCTTGTTTAACATCATGGCCTATCCTTGTGGCTGGGGTTATATACAGTAAGAGACAAAGCCATGGGTCACATACAGTCACATTAAGTCAGTCACTCTCTCTCTCTCACACACACACACACACACACACACACTTCTTCCCCTGAGACTGCTGTTGTGCTCAACTATCATATTAGAAATTAAGGCTGATCACTGAAACAGAAAAAGACAAAAAAAGGTGCCTGCCATGCAAAAGAACCAACATAAATAAAACATAAACACAGTATAAGGGCCTTGTTGTCAGTGCATAATAATAATCACAATGTCAATAAACAGTCATTGTTCTTCTAATCAATAAATTAAACATGAATATAAAATACTACAAATTGGATTTTTTTGTATGACCTCAAATAATTGCTTCATTTGGAGGCAGAGATAGTGCACACACAGTGAGGAGAAAATAGTCCCTTTTCAGTCCTTTAGTCTCAATACTGTCAATAAACCTCTCTTGTCTAAAAATGACATAATAAAATATAGTACAACTACCAGTATTGTACCAAATATCAGTATTATAGCGCTGTCTGTAACACTGAAGAGTTTGAACGCAACACGAGAAAGGATTGAACCTGGTTAGAAAAGACAAAAATATTAGTTACCTTGTGTCAGCATGCATGTCATGTCAGTATACTGTATGATCTTTATACAAACATGGTTTGCTCAGTTTTAAAATGAGACAAGATGGGTGGTTTGTTTACAGTTTGTTGATACTGCTACCTTAATTTTCAATTACAACTAGGACTTTTTAGACCTAGAAAAATAGGAAGCACTTCTGAAATGAACATCTCAATCATAACACACACATACGCTCTTTCTATTACTCTCTCTCTCACACACACACACACACACACATAGATTAGGTTTGTGGCATGTTTTGAACAGTGATTCTTTCAGTGAATTTAACTCTTTGCAGAAGCCCAAAAATTGCTCCTGGCTCAAAATCAACTTTGCCTCACCTGGAGGACCTCTTGACCTTTCCTACAGGGTCGGCCTCCTTCTGCTGGAAAGACCCACACAGAGGGCAATTGTGTCACTAACTCAATGTATAGTTTCCTTGTCTGGTTTTTTCACCATTATTTCTAATGTTTGACCTCATTATTCAAATCAAAGACGTCCACGCTTAGGTTTTTTTCATAATCAGATCATGGGATTTTTAAGTATAAAAATAAGATCATATACGAGTCAATAGGTCTGGTCTGGTCTCCATTTGATTTGATACATTTGATCTGAGCTGATCAGATCAAATATATCACTCGCTGCATGTGTTTGCATGTATATACAGTACATGCACACACTCCACATGGACATGCATGCTGCCTGCCCTGTTTTCCTCTGATTCTCAGCACCTGAAACACATTAAAGTGAAGCATCACTGCTGTGCTACACCTGGCTTACATTGAAATATTAGGCCACTTAAAAAAAAGGGATTTATAAGATACGTCTTTCAGAGTGAGGGGCGGGTGGAGGTACAGGAAGAGGAGGGACTGCTACATCAAAGCTGGGAGAAACGAGGGGAAATAAATAAATAAATACTGTAAATATACATTTCTTGTTCAAACAACTTCCATCGTGACTGACCCTACAGGGATCTGTGAAGTCTGTTAAAAATGTGATTATGTTTTGTTAGCACCCTAGCCTTACCATTCAGTGCTATTGTGTGGATGGGACTGTGTTTTGGGCATGTGTGTAGGTACATGTGTTTGTGTGTCTCATAGTCTGGTCTGAGCCTCGGGGATATAGATCTCGATACTGTCTGCGCTCTCAGTAGCAGAGCTCTGCCGAACCGACGCGGCACGTTTGGCAGCTAGCAGGCGTTTGCGAGCCTCCAGACGCTGGCGCTCAGAGCTCTCCAGCGAGCGGTCCCTTGCCAGGGGAGGGTGGCCCTTCAGGGGCTTCTTTGGCACGGGAGGGGGCATCCTTCTCTCCTGGACAGGAATGATAAATAGTCTTAATGACAGACCACTGAGTCCATGGCAAGCTGCAGCTAAACACAATAAGGAGCAACACAACTGCAGCCAGCTTGCGTATGGGTTAATAAGAGCGGTGTGGCGGTTGTCGGCATAATGTCAGAGCATGCAATTTTGAATGATGTTATGGTTCACAGTGGCAGCCATTTGTGTGGGGTAACAGAGCACGGTGGTGGCCATTGCGTGAGGTAAAAGTGACCATTGGAGATGGACAGGCCCCAACGGTGCATGGCAGGTAGAGAAGCTTCTCAAAAGCAGCTCACTGTCAACAACAAGACAGAACAAAACAAACAAATACAAGTGGTGACGTCAGGCAGACAACATAACAGTATGCAACACATGTCTGCATGCTACAACAAAGCTTAACTGTGAATCAGTAGGACTTACATTTCAAATTATACGGTAATGACAGCAGATAACATGCGGGTTAGTTAAGCATTCCAAAGCAAAACTGAGATTAGATGCATCTGATAATTTAAAATGGAGTTGGATTGAATTCGATATTTGCCATGTGTGTCTGCACCTGAATTTCTGGTGGGGTCAGAGGTTTCCAGTTGTTGGCTTTGAGTTGGTGGAGTTCGTCAAACTTCAGGCTAATATTCTCGATAGACAGCTGGAGCATGTCCCAGAAACCTGCCAGGTCCTGGGAGATGGGCCGTGGGTGTGCATTTGGGTTCTGATACACAAAAATTGCATACATACACACATGTCCACATGAACACACAAATAGAAACACATATTGTTTATATGTTTATCACGGTTTCTTTGGAAAGATGAAGTCGCTATCTGATGTTTCAGTTTTACAGCAACTGCACAAATCACAGAATTGGCTTTCAAGTGAGTCAACCATATTGTGGTGCGAGTTATTTTGAATTGGAATGAGACAGATTTGTAAATAAATCAGGCACCGTACTATAAATATACAGTACTGGGCTTGTATCTAGAATATGCCTCTGACTTCTTACATACACTCTGGTTTAACAAAAAAAAGATCAGTTTGTCAATCTATCTATTATATTATTTCTATTATTCATCTTTCATCCATGATAAATATTTTGTTTTTCATTTGAAAATTTTATTTTTATGCATTTTATGATGAATAATTAGGGTCAATAATGATTTATTTTTTTACCTTACCTTTGTTACCTTTTCATCCAGAGGCAGAAATTATCTGTTTCCAATTGGCGGGTCTTATAGTTATATAATGGGTAAGTTATGCAACACAGGTACTTACAATAATTGGACATGCATCTGCATATATATTTATGTTGGTATCAGCATCTAAAAATCCCTGTTTGCCAGGCTTTAGTCTTCACAAAGCAAGTTCTATTTTTTGTATGTGAGAGACAGTAAGGGTGTGCAGATGCACACTCTACACTAGGTGCATAGTAAATGAGCGCTGGCCTGGCCTGTCAGGATGATTTGTGCAGGATGATGTCAGTGTTGTGGGGGGGAGGGCTGTGGGAGCATGCAGAGGATGAGGTGACACATACCAGATTCTCCTCACACAGCTCCCGGAACTGCTGGAACTTCTGGGACATCAGCAGCTGGGCACTCCCCACTGCACTGCGGATCTTCCCCAGGACTGCAGAAAGACATAGACGCACATGCATGCACACACACACACAAGCACACACACATAGTTCACAATGCAATTACTCACAGAACCGCATACTGCAGGCATGTTGCAGCGCCAACAGAGAGGCTGCAATTGTAATGCAACAAAAAAGGATGCGCTAGAATCTTCTTTTATCTCTGCCTCTAAGAAGTCATTTAGGCAAGTAAAATAATTATTAAAATTGAGTGAAATTCCAAAGTCAAAGAAATGCACTCTAAAAATGGAAAGCCACACAAAACACAACATTTAAAATATCATGTTTATACCACATAAAAAATTATTTGGTTGCTGTCATGTATCAAAAAGAAACTGAAAAAATCAAGCATATGGTCCAAAAGGAATACATTATTTATTTCTCTCACAATGTCTGTTTGGCAGACTAATACACGAGAGGTTGCACTGCATAACCCGACTCCAATGGTCAGTCCTATTGACTCACATATCCCCATGGAGAGAAACTGTCAGTGCATACATTAGTCTACATGAAGAAAATGGGATCAGAAACTGAGAGGGGGGGTAATGAATCTGCACTACAGATGCAATGTCTTCAGAATGTGTGTGTACGTGTGTGTGTGTCTGTGCACATGATGGCGTGGGATCTAGGGAAAACATAACCTTGAGACAGCCTCCCTGTCCTGCATGTTCTGTGAGAGAATCTCTTGCCTGGAACCATAACAGCACACTGGCTGCATAAGCAATGACATTTTCGGTAAGACATGAAATCAGCTGTGCAGCAAGGACAGGTATAAATACAGTGCTTACTGCCCAAGGCTTGTTTGCTTAGTCTGGTAAGTGCATGTGAGTGTATGTGCATAAAACATATTTAGACGTGTGTTTACAGGCATGCACTGCAGGCGGTCTATATGTGTGTTACATCAATATCAAATACCTGGAGGAGCACTGAGAGAAACTCCTTCACTGTGTTTGTGTGAGAGATCATTATACAGTGTGTCTAGAGAACAGATGTGTGTCTGAGGCCAGCAGCGGCCTATTGATAAATATGTACGGTATGTCTGTGGAGGCCAGAGGGCCTGAGACAGGAACAAGTAGCTATTGTGGTCCAATACCATGAATACCAGCACCCTCCAAATCAGAGGAGAGGAGAGGGGAAGAGCGGAGGATGAAAAATAGACCTAATATCAGTGCACAACGGACTTTCTTGTCTTCATAACTTGGCATTTAGGCTCTATGACTCAACTCACTCTCATCGGGCAGCTCATTCTCCATCTCATCCTGCTCCATCTGTTGACACCAGCCCTCCATACGCTCCGTCTCGGCCTGCAGCAACTTGAGGAACCAGCGGCCGTCACGGGGGCACACGGACCGTCCGACAGCCTCCACCTCTGGCTCAGCCACGCTGTCCATCCATGGGTCTGGAGGGGGCAGGATCGAAGGGTCGAACCCCACCTCCCCGTAGTCGTCACCAGCACAGGCGTGGTAGTGATTCCCCGAGCCCTGGATGCTGACAGTAGAAGTAGCAGCATCGCGGGAGTGTTGGCGCGGCATGGTGGCAAAGTGACGTGGCGGCAGCTCTGGGGGGTCTGTGGGACAGTCGAGGTCAGCCTGCACAGCCGTGGTTACACTATTGGAGCGCGTCATCCTGCGGTAACTAGAAAACAAGCAGAGAACCTTTAAATGATCTGATTTTATGTGATTGATTACTCATATTTTATAGTAATACCACAGTACACACACACTTCTTGGAGGTGCTCCCAGTATAAAAAATAAAAAAACTGAAATGATCGTGGCAATCTCATCACTGATAGTGATGAATAGCCTTTGTAGTGTGGAACGTCTTTTGTGTGTGTGTGTGTTTTGTCACCTGGCTCATTCAGAAGCAACAGAGTGTGCAATCGTCTGTCACACCAAAAGCCCTGCTCCGGGGCTGATGCACTTACACAACAGTATATCCATACACACAAACACACACACACCTGGGACTTTCTCTACAGCTGGGTGTGCCATGTCGTATTTGGCTCAGAGGCTTTGTGCTGCTGTAGGGCAACCTTTGCCAAGTCCCTCCACACTATGTGCAACAGCAGACACGCACACTCATGTGCAAAGATTAAATCAACACACACACACACACACACACACACACACATTCACATTTGGCTACATTCTATAGAGCAGCTCACCACCTCAGTAATGAATGGGACACCAGAGGGATGGGGGGGTTGAGGAAGGGAACTGGCCAAGTAAATGTTCAGTGATTGGAGGAGCCAGCAGTTTAATCACTGCAAGACTACAACTCAGAGTGGTAGACGACTCAAAGCACATCTTTTATTAACGCATACAAAAATGTACCAGAGCGCTGCTCACTGAGCCACTTAAAAGACAAGAGAAACACTTTGGTAAGAGGCTCCAAAGATACAAAGAGTGAATAAAAGCAGAATAGTACACATTTGAACTCATTACATACGACCAAGCACGCTTTATGGACGTGTAGGTTTACATATTTGACTATTTCTGCTTTCAACGCATGCCAAATTAGTCAGTAACAACTTTGCCAAGCCAGAAGAGAGACTGCATTGCTAGCCTACTTGCTGCACCCTGATCCAAACATGCCCACAGTCCTCTCACACATGAAACCTTAGCTTGACCTGCCTGCAGCATGACAGACACAAATGATCACAGCTCCATCAAGTCTGCCTCGGCCCATCTCCGGACGCGCACTCCTCCTCGACGCTATCGATTCATCTCTCTACCTCCCCTTTTCTCATTCATCTCTCCTCTTCCGTGAACAGCAAAAAGAGAGAAGAACAAGGGAGTGGCTTTGGGTAAGATCAAACACGGTGTGTATGTGCTTTATGGTAACGTACCAGCAGCCCTGCGAGTGTGAGTGTGTGTGAAGAGCAGTTAAAGAGTAACTCCTCCGAGCAGGTGTTCAGTTCTAATGACCTCAGCCTGCTTTCTATCAGTCTTCTAACAACTTCCTGCAGGGGAAGAGACTGGGCAAGGCCAAACATAGCCTAGACAGAGACATATCAGTAGACAGGAGGCAAAAGAACAAGGAAGGATATTTAAAGAGAAAAGTCAACCTGAGGGAGAGAAAAGACTATAAAGCACGAGGAAGGTATGCTGGAGGATAAAAAATAGCATGTAAAAAGTCCATGTTCTTATTACCTTCATGTGGTGAACATGACATGAACGTAAATCACAACAGAGGTGGAGTCCTACATTCCATATGCTTTCAGAGGACATCTTTAACTCAAGGTTTTTTTTTGCCTTTCTTACTAATTTGCCTCTAATCTGCAGAGAACATGGTTCAAACCACAGGCATGAGGAAATACTGAAGCAACTATGAACAAAAAACAGCCTGATGTCTGATTTGGATACAGAAAAAAGCCCCAGAACACATGCTGGATGACAGAAAACACAGCATTACACAATCACTCATGCTATTACGCACCACAAACTGACATTCAGAAGTTGGATATGCACCTGAGCCTTCTTGTTTGTTTGTCTTATCTCAGTAATGACAAACCTTCAGCCAGTTAGGACACAAACAAAAAGACATGGAGGTCTAGCTGTCCCTCAAATTGACTTTTCAAGATGGTTGTGCATATGGTTAAGTCACTAGGACCATGCACAATCCTCCACTTCCCCTGTGACTGCAAAGCCATCTGGTGACCACCAACCCCAGACCCTAAACTTGCAAGGCCCTAAAACTCAGAATCCATCAATTAATGCACCAGATTCTCAATTGTATATCACAGTTTATCTTGTTTGTCTATCAAATACAAAAACTTAAAATAATTAGTATAATTGAATTAAAACACATTTGTCTAAGGAATAAGTACATAAATACAATAAAAATCAGTGTTATGTCTCAACATTTCAGTACAGAAAGAAGTCTGTGCACAGACAAGCATGTTGTTTGTTGCATTCATCTCTCAGAGCTTTCTTCCACTCCCTCTCAGTTAATCGTAGTTCAAACAGCCAGGTGAGGTTATGACCTGTGACTGCTGCATATAAACACAGACTCTCTCTCACACACACACCCACACACAGACACAAATAAGGGAGTTTGAGCACTGGAGCGAGGCCGTAGGAGGTTGGCACTCTCACTGTCTGGGAATCTAATGTAGGGGGCAGCATGCCCAGACCTCCCAGGTACACACACACATATGCATGCACCAACACACACACAGATGCATGCCAACAGGTAAACAATCAAACATCCACCAACAAAAATATCCCCTCCCACCAACTCTAAACATTAACCAGAGAAATGCAGAGTGCTGTGCTGCCTTACATCCAAGACTCAGCAGACTAGAAGGTGTCTGGATGAGTTAATATTTGGCTTGGCAACTCAGGGAACTCAGAACTTGGTCAGTCAGCTGAGACCTCCCCTTTCAGAAAGCCCCTCACATTCCCGGACACTGTGTAAAAGTGTGTTTTAAAGTGCTGGACTCAGCCCTCACTGTGACCTTTGATTAAAAGGTGGTGTCTCTTTGAATTCCCAAAGCATGCCTTGGCTACAGCACAAAACCAGGACCATGGCTAAATTTGTCAACTTCCCTCACCAAGCAGAAGGTCACTGTTTTGACAGCGTGAACGAAAGCAGACAAAGAAACCATAAATGCCTGCGTGTCCCAACAGAGGCCTCGATAAGCCCGGTGCGATGTGAGCTAATGAAACAGTATGCACACTAGGCTTCTTCTCCTCAAAGTGGGAACATGTTGCAGAATGAGAGGCTGTAGCTGACAGCACAGCAGTCTGTCAGTGCTCTCAGAACTAAACAAACCCAATAAAACTCCCTCCCCCTTTTTCTCCCTCCCTTCCACACATACACAAACACATACACACAGCCTCAAAGTAGCCTGAATCACAATGACTACAGCAACAGATGGCTGTCAACTCACCCCCTCCACCTTCCCAGCTCCCTGCACCACATCCTCTGGCCCAGCTGTCACTTGGGGCCCCTGGCTGAGGGGGCTCTGACGCCAACCTTGCCTGAACTGGGGACAGCTGCTGCAAGGAAGCCAGTGCAGGGGGGCAAAAGCTTGCGCTGCACACTACAAAACCTCTCTCTGTCTCCACAAGTCCTCTTCCTGTTCATGCTATCTCTGTCTCATCCTTTCCATCAGACTAGAGTCCAGTTTCACTTTTACAACCTCCTCTTGTCTCTTTGTCTCCCTACTCACCATCGTTCATCCTCCACTTGAATTCCTATCGACTGGAATTTAGACTGCTCCTCTGTGGGCCCTCCTTCCTCTGGGTCCACCTAAGAGGAGGGGAAAGACTGTCAAACTGCATACCAGAGTTTTATTTCAGAACTTAAACAGAAGCCAGGACTCATCCACCAACCTGGATCCCTATAGAGAGGCACTTGCGGAGCGCTTCCCTCTGTGCCTTACTGTCTGCTGAGACGTGCGCGACGGCAGAGGTGGTGGCGGTGGCAGTGATGGTGATGGTACTGTTGGTGACGTGCTGGCTGGCAGGGCCATGCACCTGAGCATTAGCTGCCTCTATGGCTGCTGTCAGGGCTTTCATGCTGTCGATGCTCTCTGTGGAGTTGGACAGGCCCGGCTGGGAGCTGATGCCCGTCCGCGGGCCAGAACCCCCATCCATGTAGGCATCCTGGGCGGACTCGGTGCTGCTCTGGGCCGTGATTGATATGAAGGGCTTCGACGGGGTGGTGCGTGGTGGTACGGGGGGAGGTGTCTTCTTGTAGGTGGTGATGCATGATGACACTGCAAGGGAGGAAAGAGGGAAAGAGAGATAACAAATGATTACACAATGAAAGTGTGCATCTTAAAAGACTTCAATCATCATCTGGTGTGGGGTTTGAAAGATGTGGGCATTTAGGAGGCAGGGTTGATTATGATAGCACATTTTTGGAAATGTAGGATATAGATGCATTCAAGAGACTAAATGTCAAGATATCTCTGCCTCTGCAATTTTAACTATTCTTTTAAAGAATTATCAATACTAAATTTTGGCATACACCTTTAATGATCTTTATTGGCATTTTATATTGATGCAATATTTATATTGAACAGCAAATAATGACAGTACACCAAAAATATAAATAAGATAACAAGTAAATAATGACTGTATATTAAACATACAATATCCAGTAATTACAGTGCTACACTAAGTAGAAATGTGGGAAATGAAAGTATGAAAATACAGCATGCATGCTTGTTATGCAACATATAAAATAAGATTATGAAATCTTGAAAACGCAATAAAAAAAAAAGAATAAAGCACATTAAAAAAGAATAAAACACATTAAATAAAACAAATGCACTGCTTGAAAGTAAAATTACTTTGGTGACAGTTTACTCTGAGGTTTGAGGCCCCTATATAGGAGTCAAAATGGACAGTAGATTAGGGCCAACTTTAACAAATCAGGGCCTCGTCTAGTAATAGGATTAGTATGTCAGCCACTTGACCCACTGATCTAGATGGTTAAGCCCTCTACGCATTTACTGTACACATCCAGGACAATTTGATGATGCCAAATATAGCCCAGCATGCTTGTGTGCCTTGATGTTGTTTGCATGCATAATAACATAGAAGTTAATTGATATTTATGAAAAAGTACAGAAGTTAAATGATACTGTAGAAGACAGCTAGAGAGCTCAGTACACTCCAAAGGCTTTGCATTAAATCCAAGAAAATAGATATTAAAAATCATCATAGTGCTGCTCAGTAACACTCTCCCACTTTCTGTCAGTGCTCTCTCCCTCTCAGGTTAGCTACAAGTTCTGCACAGACAATGGAGGCTCTCACACACACTGACTCAGAAGCCTGTGTATAGAAACATGCCAACAGACAAAAAAATATAGCCTGTCTAAAGCAAGACAAAAACAGCCACCACCTAACTACATTATGCCTTGGAATCTCCTTCCTGGCCCGTGCTATCATCAAAACTAGGCCTCTCTCTCTCTCTGCTCTGCAGCAAAAGTAGGACAGCGGGTTTCCTGGATCCCTTTAATCCCTACAAAAGACAAACATCCTACCGTGGCGAGATCACTGCTCTGCGTGCGGCAGACAACTGTTGCCAACCACACCCAGCATGAGCAGCCATGTCTAAAACTATTAGAGCCGGATGTTGTTTTCTTTGTGTTTTGCCATCTCACTGACAGCTACAGAGACGGTTGACATATTGGAGGTGAAGTGAGGGCTGACTTCATCCTCTTGGTTTGTCAGAGTCATCCGCCACCCGCAACCCTCCCTCTTGACTCTTCAGCAGTGATTGGATGATCCCAGACGAGATTTCAGTCAGGTTTTGACAAGCTGGAAAGTCCTAAAATGGGATCAATGCTGCCTTGAGGTTAGATCACAGTTGCTAATATGAGTGTCTTTGATGGTGGTGAAACAAACCACAAGAAAGACAAAAGAAGATGGCTTACTGTATTTCCTTCTATGGCTAAATGTCACATGTATTTCTTTAAAGAAATACTGTATATGTAGGAATTACTGCCAAAGTCATCTCAGGCGGAATCGACTTCGGCTTTTCACAGATGTCTAGGGAATATGATTGACATCCAGGGCTAATCCTCAGAAAGGTCACTGAGTACAGACCCACAAGAGAAGAAAAAAACAGTGAACACACACATGCACACAGGGAGAGGGCGAGGTTCTGCCCCTATCAGCCGCGGAGGTTCAAAGGATAGAATGTCAGCCCCTTTCAGAGCTTCTATCCCCTGAAGTCATCTAAAAGTCATGTTGGTTGACTGCATATGTGGGTGTGTGCGTGCATGTGCTCCTCTCAGGCCCAGAGAAGGGTTAAAGAACAGAGGGTTTTTATCCGCTCAATATAACGCTGTATGAAACAGGAGACGACGCGCCGTGTCCCACCTAGCTGTCACTGCGAGAGCCAGACACGCTGGAGAGAATGACAGGGAGTTTTGAATAGCGAGACAGGTTAAGTAAACACACTCAGGAGTCAGGAGTCGGTACATGCCCACGCACACATGTATGCGCACATAGGGCTAGCAGACGTGCACATGCAGGCACAGAGGCACACAAATGACACTGACACAACCCAGCTTTATGTTTCAACCTCTCCACATCAAGGGAGACCACAGGCTTCCTGCCACTGATATGCTCCCTATCCACCAGGATAGAAGCTGTTGTCCACAACCATCCAGCCCTTGCCAGTGATGTGTGTGATAAGTGTATAAAGACGTATCATCAAAAACTTTGCAAAATTAATTGATTTAAGTTTGTATGTTACCTATCTTCTAATTCTTCTAACCAGGTTTCCAGTTTCCACAGAAATGATAAGAAAATAGTTAGATTTTCTCGCAGCCATGAAAGCATTAGACAGCTACACTGCCCTGGACCTCCCACGCACACAAACAGTCAAGGACAGAGTGAAGTAGGAATGTGACGCAGGATTCCATCAGACCCTTAAGAAGGAATGTAGAAAACTCTCTTCACCAAACACAGATAAACACCGACAAGCACACAAAAGTTTCACTTCATAATATCAGGTTAGGGGAGTTTTGATCAGAGAAAAAGAAACATCAATCATATTCTCTTGGGAACAACTTCCTCACTTAATGGAAGTGGAATTGTGGAATTTCATCTCTCTTCCCTCATAGAGTTAGGTGCAGCCTGCTGCGAGCATTGTCATCCCAAAGAGAAGAGTTTGTGAATGACAAAACTCTAGTGGCTCTCTGCCAAATCCTTCTTTTGACAAATACTTCAAAAGTCCCATGCCGACAAGTTGGTGTGAATAGCAGTTCTTCTTGGCAGAGCACTCCCCCCACCTCTGGGCTTGATAAAATCAAAGAAAGCCCTCTTCCCTCCCCTGAGACAAAGCAAAGTCTCCATTCATTTCTCCAGCCTTCAGAACAAAAACAGACTTGCTAGCCACCTCTTTTTTTTGGCTCTGCTGATCACCGTGTCCCATTTGCGTGTCTGCATAGGTGTATGCTGTTTCCTTTATTTAATTGTTGTGTTCATGTTACTGGACAGATTGAAGGCAGGCAGCTGCTGTGTAATCTCCAATCTGTGTATCTGTGATAGGCCACTTCAAAGAGCAGACGGTTTGGTTTAAGAGGCTAGCTAACAGGAACGGGCTCCCCCGCGCGGGGGCCAAGGGCAAATCCACTACCCAACCAAACAAATACAAAGGCCCGGAAAGGGGGCGGTCAGTATGGGGGAACATTGACAGCTGAGCCCAGCTGCACTGTGTTTGGGATGAGGGTCTGCCAGAGGGGAGAGGGCAGAGAATAGAAGAGGAGCAAGAACAAGACTGAGGAGGAGGAGGGTAAATCAGAGAGTTACTGCCTGGCTCCGTCTGCTCGCTTTCTGTCCATTTGTCCGTCTCTCCCTCTCTCTCTCTGTCATACACAAACACGCACAGACAAACACACACGTACAGAGAACCAGCTGGAGTTCTTTGTGATAGCGTCACCATGGCGACACATAGCAACATGAAGTTTGCCAGGAGGCTTGGCGTTTTACCAGCAGCAAGCAGAGGGGAGCTTCTGTTGGCCATTTGTTTACCTTGACAGGGTACACTGCAGCTGCACTGACACTCACCTAAACACCAGCCAACAGGAACAAAGCAGGAATAATGGGTCACAGCTAGCGTAACTTAAAAATCAAATAGACACCAGGATAACAGCATAGGGGGAGTAACTAGGTGTCACTGTGTTGCAAATTAATATCTAATGTTTCTAGCCCTGAAGCGTTGGCTTTGTACAGCTGAATACTGAACTCTACCAACCAGTTTGTCTTGGATCCCTTTCAAAAAAGCTTGTCACTGGGTCATGAGATGACAATAACCTGAAAGGTTCACACCATGTGATGTTACACTGCTGTTGTGAACAACAATGCAGCAATACAAGGCACATCCTAAATGACTCAACGTGGCCTCCAGGAGGCTACTATGAGATACTGTAAAAAGTGAAGAAGAATTACAAAAAGCCTTGAGTTTCAAAGAATACTGATGTGTTAAAATAACCTAAGATATCACGTTTGTTGCTCACTTGTAACTGCTAATCTGCTAATACTGTAGAGACACAACAAACACTGCACACAGGGTACACAATGTTCCTTTAAAAGTTGTCCGAGAGCTCTCTGACTCACCTGAAAGTCTTTCACAGACCCTCATGTCAGTCTATGACTCTCAGCCACCAGAGGTCAGAGGTCACCACAGAGGGTTTCTGCTCTCCAGATGCCTGAACTCTCTCAGACACAATAGCTTACTGTGTGTGCCTGTGTGTGTATGTGTGAGCATACGGGTATGGTGGCAGTCTGTGAGTGCCTTTTAAAAGAAGTATATATTTGGAGTTCTTTTTGGGGAGGGAGTTTTCAGTGCAAATGGTACCAGTGTTGTAAACATCCTGCACTAACTGCAGCATTTTCCTTTTTTTTTTTCCTTGAGTTAAACATAAGCATGCATATCAGCACAAAACATTTGTTAAATATGCCTCCGGTGTACCCAGACCAACAGTGCTATCAACAAAGCAGTGTGCTCAGTGTGCTCCTTTTGACAGAAACCCGTGTCAACAGTGGGTAGCTGCTCTAGCAGGCTTGTGTCTCCTGAATGACTAGATAAGAGTGTGTTTACAACTGTCAGCCACTGCTAAATCTGGCAGGCAGCTGCTCCCTGTTAGGCAATAGATTCACTTCACTTAACCCACTTTCCTGTGCTTCAAGTTCAAATAGGGAGCCTGGTTACCTGCATACCTCTTTTATGGCCTGACGCTCTCTTCGCCCTGTCAAT